ACCGAGCCAGTAGGGAGGCTGAGCAGGGGTAGCCTGGGTCTCTCGGTCCGTGCCGAACTAGGATCTGTTCTCCCGAGGGCGGAGGGTGGGCGGACAGCGTGGGGCCGGGCCCAGGGAGGACTTAGGTCAGTGGTGAGGAGCTGAGGCCGTCGAGGTCAATGAGAACGGACAGTGGGAAGAGAACATCTGGCCGCGGGTTCCAGGATTTGACACGGTCGGACTTCCACGACCACGGAAGATTGGAAGAACGGGCTCTACTACCCTGATTGACCCGGAGCCGGCCGCCTTACCGGGGACTGCGTCAAGATCTCCGAGAAGATGGATACGTGCCGAATTTGTTGATACAAATAGAGACAAAGTTGAACAGTAGTCTATGTGTACGTTCTGACCAGAGGAACTTCTTGAGTTAATATTAACTTAGGGACTCCCTTGGGCAAAGTACTGGTAGTGACCAAAGGCCCTTCCGTATGCCTGTCTTCGGAGAAGCAGAGCTGCTGTCAAGACAATTCCTCTGCGCTCTGCCCGCTGCCACGTTCTCAGGTCCTACTCTGGGGAGGTCCGTTGTAAAGCCCAAAGGATGGGAATTGTTTTGTCTTGACTGTTTTAATGATAAATCCATTCGCTGCTTGTACAACTGCCTGATCTTACGGATAGATCGAATATTTTCTGGTAAATAGGCTAAAGCTGTTGTTACTGACCTTTAAAAAGTATTTTTGATCGTCACATGAAGTCTTTGAAAGTCATAACAAAAAAAACCCCATAGTGCATCCTTAGCCATGTTGACTTATGACATTATGTGGTCACTGTTAGGGCAGGTGACATAATAAACTGGAAGAACCATTGTGTGTTCCCAAAGGTGTGATTATCTAGTAAATATGTCTTTGGGCCATACTAAAAGCTGAACAGTGTGATCCTTAGCTTAAATCCAGTAAGCATATGGGGTTTGCATGCACCTGCCAGGTGAAAGTACACAGTAAAATACGGACATTTTTAGAGAATCTGGTGTTTTATGTCTACAACTACTATAATCCATGTACCTGCTTTAGATCATTTGAATTTTAGGTTATGCTTGGTAACTAAGATTGAGCCAATACATAGATAACTGCTAACTTTAATTTTCACTACTAAATACTGAAGAAAATGGCCGTTGATTAGCTGGAATACCTTCTGTTGTCACTGTACGTATAGGCTATACTATTTGATAGGGCAGCAAGATCAGTGGCAGACTTGTTTAAGTCTGAGAATATGTGTTGGATTTTCCTTCTCATGATCTGACAGTAGGAGATTCTGTCTTAGCAATTAAAAACAGAAACACAAGCCCAGTGTGGTAGCACATACCTTCAATCCCAGCACTTGAGAGACCAAGGCAGGAAGTTTACCATAAACTCAAGGCCAGCCTGGATAGCACAGACCCAACCTCAAAATAATAATAAAAGTAAACATGTATTAGGTATTTCTTTAAATAAACGTAGGTTAAAATGTAAGCTCTTTAAAGGCAGGGACTTTGTCTGTTTGTATTCCTGGCACCTATACCTGACACATTAGAGCTCAGTAAATCATTGTTGAATGATCTTTCTCTTCTGAAAAACAATCAGAGAGAGTTTTGGTAACTAATTCTGATTTTATGAATTAATTAGCCTTGCTTTAGGACCTTGGGAATTAGAAGATAGAAAAAAGTGTACACTTTGTCCTTTTTAGTTAAACCCTGTAATTGTCAAAGATATAAACTTAGACTAGAAAAGAATGGAGGGATGAGGATATAGTGGTAGAGCACTTGGCCTAGCCCAGGGTTCGGTCTCCAGTACCACAAAAATAAATACCATAAAAATAAATAAGACGCTAGGCAGGGGCAGTGCATGCCTTTAATCCCAGCACTCAGGAGACAGAGGCAGGCAGATCTCTGTGAGTTCGAGGCCAGCCTGGGCTACAGAGTGAGTTCCAGGAAAGGCTCCAAAGCTACACAGAGAAATCCTATTTCAAAATAAAATAAAATAAGACAAAATAAATAAGTGCCAGGTGTGGTGGCACATACCAGCATTCCAGAGGCTGAGGCAGTTACATCTCAGTGAGTTCTAACCCAGCCAGTCCTATACAGTGACACACTGTCTTTAAAAAAAAAGCAGTTATTAACACAAAGCAACAGACCAAATGAGACACGTTCATTAAGCCACAGGATAACTACTTTCTCTAAATGAATGTAGTAGCTGAGCTACTGTGCCTTTTTCTGCAGCTCCAATAGATAAACTGTGGGGTCCTGGTACTGTGACACAGCAGAAAAATCAACTGTCCTAGTCATGCTTAATTTACATACTATAATCTTATTGGTTAAATTTCAAAAGTCTTAAACTTTTTAATTGAAAATATAATCTGATGTAATTGTAGTCAGCAAATACAACGTCATCTTAACAAAAAATTAGCCATCAACAAGCTGAAGTTAGTATATTTACATTAAAAAATATATATATTTACATTAGTTAGTATATTTACATTTACATTAAAAAAATACATTCTCAGAGTTAGGGGTGTGGCTCAGTACAACGCTTGCCCAGCAAATTTGAAGTTCTGGTTTAATCCCCAGCACCACTAAAAAATTAGAGTCTACAATCTGAAGTCAACTAGTTCAAACAGCAAACCTGTACCAGGAGGCTCCACCTGTTCTGAACTACACAAATAATTTAGATTGCTAGTAAATATCAAATTAAACACCCTCACAATCAACTATTTCTGATTTGTCCTTGAAACCAGAAAAGCACAATTTCATTCTCATCCTCCACCACTACACACACAGGTCTAGCCTGGCTTCTACCTCCTGATCCTCCCAGCTCCATCTCCCAAGTCCTAGGACTACAGGTTTATGTCACCACAGCTGGCCAGTATTGTCCCTGCCTTAAAATATACACATTGGCCAAGCATGGTGGTGGCTTGCATTTATTACAGCACTTGGGAGCAGATCCATCTCCATGAGTTGGAGGCCAGAGTGGCCTATATAGTTCCAGACCAGCCAAGACTACACAGACTATCTCAAAAAACCAAAACAAATAACATACACATTGAACATCAGAACTGGAAACTAAAGAACTTGTGATTTTTACATCTTTAGATTTAACAGGCGAGTCAAAGATCGGCTTGAAAACTTTAAATCGTTCGAGTTCTCAGCAGACTATTAAGCCTTAATGTAACCTTATTTTTATTAGACTATATGTGCTTGAAGATTTCATTTCTCACTGACTTTCTTGATTCTCTTTCCTTTAGTTGGGGCTGCCTTATCTGTTCCCGTTTCTCCAGCTTACATCCCACACTCCCTTTTTCTGAGTTACACAGGTTCCCTCCCAACTTATAACTTTTGCTGACAGATTCATCATACATTCAGTACTCTCGGCTGTCTACCCTTCTATCCCCAGACACACGTATCATCCATTAGGATTACCTCAAAAATATCCACCTATGGAGAAAACTTGTTTCCTTCCTAGATTGGTTCTTGGTTTGACGATGGTAACAATCCACAGGTTGTTTTTTCTTCTTCTATGACTCAGTATTTATATTAGTTTAATGTGTTTCCCTTCACTAGACTGAAAGTTCCAAGATAGTAGAAATTTGTTTTATCTTTTGAGACAGGATCTATGTAGCCCAGGCTAGCCTTGAGCTCTCTAGCTCCTGCCACAGCCTCCTGAGTGCTATGATTACAAGATGCATCCCTTAGTTGTGTTTTATTATTGTGTGCCTAGCACAGAGTAGGCTACAATGAATCAGTCTTAAAACTTGTATAGCTGGGTTGAGAGTGCACACTTACAATCCTAGCATTTGAGAAACTGAGGCTGGGTGAGCATAAATTCCAGACCAGTTTGAGCGACAGGGAGAGTTCAAAGGTAGTGTGGACTACATAGTAAGATCCTGTATCAAAACTTAAAGATTAAAAAGGAAAATCTATCAGGTACCTGAAAAAAAATTGTTTGAAGTAATATATTTAAGATCATCCAATTCAATCATTATTTATTACACTTAACTTTTTTCTGGTTTCAAATGTATCTGGTTTTAAGCCCTTGCTTCTTAGTCCTAGACTTTATTAAAAGATGAAAAGATGCGTTGAAGGAACAGGAGAAATGGCTCAAATGGTTAAGAGCACTTACTACTTGTGCAGAGGACCACAGTTCGATTCCCAGTACCCATATGGTCATTTACAACCATCCATCACTCGTTTCCAGGAGATGGAATGTTCTTCTAATCCTTTAAGACACTAAGCATGCTTGTGGTACACCTACACACATGCAGGCACAACAAAGAAGAAAGGAATAAATCTAATAAAAAGAAAACTTAAAAAAATTGATGCATTGAAAAATCTGTAATTTTCTGGGCATGGTGGTACATGCTTTTGATCCCAGCTCTCAGGAAGCAAAAGATCTCTATTGAGTTTGAGGTGGGTTTGGTCTATATATTGAGTTCCAGGTCAGCCAGGGCTACATAGTGAGATTCCCAACTAAAAGAAAATAGAGGAACTTGAAAAATGGCTTAGCGATGAAGAGCATTTGCTTTTCTTCCAGAGGCCCCAGGTTCAATTCCTAGCGCCCATATGGCAGCTCACAACCATTTGTAATTCCAGTCCCAAGGTATCTAAACCCCCTCTTCTGGCCTCTGTGGGCATTGCACACCTGTGATGTACATACATGCAGGCAAAATATACACACATAAAATCTTTTGAAATGACAATTCATAAATATTTTAATGTAAACATCATGTAACAAACATAATCATACAATTATATATTCATATAATCCATCACAAATACAATGGCATAATGTTATATGAAAAGTAAAAAAATCCCACTCTCCATCTTGCAATGTCAAGTTGGGTGTGGTGGCTCATGCCTGAAAGCCCAGTGCTGAGGCTGAGGTATGAGCACCATAGTGAGCTCCAGACAAAACGAAATCCTGTAAACAAGTTCTTTAAAATACTGGCATTTTATAAATTCCAATAAGTTACAAGACTTTGTTTCGCTTTTTTTCCCCTGAGGGTCTCTCTCCATAGCCCTGGCTGTCCTGAAACTCAACATATATATCAGGTTGGCCTCGAACACACAGAGACCTGCCTGCCCCTGCCTCCCATGCTCTGAGATTCAAGCCACCCACCACTTCTGTTGGCTTGTTTTACATAATGTCAAAATGTATTACACATCCAGTAGAGTGGCAGGAGTCTTCCTCAAAAAAAGTAGAGTTTAATTTCTGTCAGAGGATTGAAACTTCATGATAAAATCTGGATTGCTAAGAGCACATCTCCTTCACATTTGCTCTCCTCCCTAAAATAATGCTGTTCAAATATATACAGCCTACCCATTCCATCACCAAAACTTTACGGTTTTACCTTGTAAATCAAGGACATATATAACCAAACAGTTGGTAAACATATACATACCGAGCACAACTAAGGTCCAGGAGGCACTACTGTGTAACGTATCCACCATCAGGTTAATCAAACCAGTTGTTATATTTGACAGCAAGAAAAAAAACAGCTGGTTTCTGTTCAGAGCTGTGATTAAACAAAGGCTGGGTTCTTTTTTTTCAGCTTCTAGGATTGGAGATTCAGAATGTTTTTTATTTGTAGCAGGCAACTGTATAAGTTTCCAAGAACATGGTACTAGAGCCCCTTTAATTAGAAATTTGGCAAAACTCAAAATTATATCACTCAGTAACAGACAGCTAAGAAGCAGCAGGCTAGAAGCAACCACCCACATACAAAAGGCTAAATTGGCCATTCTTCGAGATACGGCTTCTATATTTACTTGAACTATATAAAGGGAAATGAAGAAGCTAACAGCCACTAAGAGAATACAACAAGCAACTTTTATCCAGTCTCTGATATGTGTTCTGTTCTTAAGCACATACAACCCTGTCTGCACGCCAGCCATGTGGATCGTCACGTACCCCAGAGTGGAAATGATTCCTTCCCGGTTGGCATTAAATAACCCAGCTCTCGTGCCACTACCATCAGTGCCATACAAAATTACCCTCTTGAGTGGAGTCAAGTCAAGAGCTAGCTGGTACAACACAGTAATGCTGACAGCCATAATCCATGACTTATTTAAAGGAAAAATAATCAAAAGAAGGGATGTTATTAATTTCACAACTACGATGGTAAAGAAAAAATTCCAGTGAACTCCATACTCAGTTAAATGTTCCTGATAGCCTATGGATTTTATAACGACTAACCGTCCCATTCCTAACAAGACGAGCGGCCAAACAGAATACAGTGATTTTCTAAGGTAATTAAATCTGGACCCTTCTACAGATTTCCTTCTAAGCTCTGGACAAACCATTGCAGCCCCAAAAATAAAACCACCTACTCCGTAATCCATGGCCCCTGTCCCATAAAGCTCCGTTTTGGCAAATCTTCTAGGGAAAAGTGGGAAGTCCACAGCCAAAATGGCAATAGCAGTGAATACACTGTTAATGACCCGGTAACAGGTGATGGCTGGATTGTACTCTGACTCTAGGCTGATTTTCAAGAAGTTTGCAAAGACTTTCTGGACAGGCACTTTGGCATAGCAAGTTCTCCTCTGATAGATCTGATACAACAGCCATGCCCCGCAGGCAATCACAGTGAGACTCTCAAGGAGAATAAACGAAGACAGTATAGTCAGAGTGACCACCAGGGGGACTATGAGAACAACAAAGTCCATGAAGAATCGTGTGCTCCGGTGGAGTGAGAAAGAACACAAGTGCTCTGAGAAAATGATCAAAAGGCCTCTGCACAGGATACAGAATGCAGGAAAGCACAAGCCCTGGGTCACTTCCAGCACGCTGGTTCCATTGAGGTTACTGACAAAAGCTTCCTTCATCTGCTTTTGAGACATTTTTTTTCCCTTCCTGTGAAAACAAGACAAAAAAAAATGGATTTGAGGAAAACAACATTGCTGTGAAGTCGGTAAACAGCTACCTACCTCACTTGAATTTACGTATTTCTCAGTTTCAGAACAAAAGTTTAGGGGCTGGAGAGCTGGCTCAGCAGATAAGAGCACTGGCGGATCTTCAGAGGATCCGGGTTCAATCACCAGCACCCACATGGCAGCTCACAACTGTCTGTAACTCCAGTTCCAGATACCCTCACACGGACATACATGTGGGCAGAACAGAAGTTTAGGACTAACAGGCGGTGGTGGCACATGTCTTTAATCCCAGCACTCAGGAGGCAGAAGCAGGCAGCTCTCTGTGAGTACAAAGCCAGCCTGATCTACAGAGTGAGTTCCAGGACAGCCAGAGCTACACAGAAAAAGAGGTAGGCATTTAGGCCCTAGTGATTTCAGTTCCGGGCAGAATTTCCGTCCGTACTAAATGCTAAGATTCTAGGGGAAAAGTCAACATTGATACATTAAGAGAAGATACAACATTTCTAGTACAAAGTTGCATCTTCACTCTAAAAGGAAAGTAAATTTAGAGGCTGGGTATGGTGAAGCATACATATAATCCTGTCCCTTAAGACACAAGATGGTCCTTGCTCACATACTGAGTTCTCAGTCAACCTGGCTTACATGAAACATTGTCTTTTTTTTTTTTTTTTTTTTTTTTTTGTAGACAGGGTTTCACTGTGTAGCCTGGAACTCAATATGTTAACCTTGAACTCAAGAAATCCACCTACCTCTGCTGGCTGCCCCGCCCCACCTCCCCTACAAATGCTTAGATTAAAGGCATGTGCTACACATCCAGCCAGACCTGGTCTTTTTTCTTTTTTTTTTAATTGCAGTTTTTTCTTTCTTTTATTTTACATGCATTGGTGTTTTGCCATGGGTGTTGGGGCCCCTGGAACTGGAATTACAGACATTTGTGAGCTGCCATATGGGAGCTGAGAATTGAACCCAGGTCCTCTAGAAGAGTAGTCAATGCTCTTAACCATTGAGCCATCTCTCCAGCCCCCCAGACCTGGTCTTTAAGAAAGTAAATTTGGGATATGAATCCAAATGGCATCACAGTCAGGAATTTCTACTGCGAAGCATAATTTCTGTCTGTCTCTTTCTCTCCATATATATGTGTGTGTATGCATATATATATATTACATACAATTAGTTATATGTATATCGTGATATATACTGATGTTATGAAAACCTTCATGAAAGCTGCAAACGCCTTGCTAAGAACTTTAAAATAAAACTTCGGGAAGGAAGAGAAATTCTAAGTGTATTTTAAAGTCAGGGTCCCTTGGTTTCTGTCCAGAGCCTCAAAACCTACTACAGCACGGGCCACCTACCGGTGAATGCATGAGACCCAGGTTGTTCTTTGCCTCCTATACACACGCGGCCATATTTTCAGATTGAGGAGCAGGTGGACCGAATGGATGCATAGTACACACCAGGGCTAATGGCTTCTTTCCCCGCAGCCTACAACCTCCTCTGTCACATACTACTGTCTGAGACGTTGCACACTGAGCAAACACCTCCGTCGATCAGATGTGAATCACGGTGTGTAACGCCCCTGAAGGTAGACCATTGTGGTCTGTTTGGGCCCTGCATCAGCATCTCACCGTTCAGAGGCCCTGCAAGTCCTCCTCCTCCTCCTGACAGACCTGACAGCCGCAACCACGCCCGGCCCCAGACAGAGGGTCGCCGGCGTGCACAGAACAGGCTCCCACCGCACCTGCCGGCTCCCTCCGCTTCCGCCTCGCGAGCAACGCTTCCGGCCGGCGCGGGCGCAGCCTGTTCTTCCGGGCCCGCAGATTCCGCGCGCCCCCGCCGCCGGGGATGGCGACAGTCCCCGCCCCGCCGGCTCCCCACGCCCTTCGGTGCGTTGGGCTGGGTTCTGGAGACCGAGCCCTGCGACCTCGGACCCACGGCCAGGCGGGTCAGGGAGAGGGTCCGAGGAGCCCGCGCCAGACTCGGGCACGGCGACCTGCAAGGAGGTCAGCCCCCGGGGGTCCCCGGAAGCCGCGCTTTCCCACCCCGAACCCGGGAGGCCACGGAAACACCACACCTCACCCCGGGGTCTCCAAACATCTCACCTCCCGAGGAGCCCGCCCGCCGGTGCGGCGGCCCGGGACCGGCCACGTGCGTCCAGCGCCGCGTGTGCGCGCCCCGCCCCTGGGGAGGAGCCGGCGGGCTCCGGGCCACTCCGCCCGAGCTGCTGCGGGCCGCGGGCGACCCTGAGTTACGAGCTTTCTTTCCTAGCCGCTCCGGCTCCCTCTGCTCTCTTCCCTCCCCGGGGTTCTTTCCGTCTCCGCACTCTGCCCACCCGCCCCGGGCCGGGACTGCACGCTGGGCGCCCAGGCCGTGGGACCGGTGAGTGCCACTCCCCGCCTAGATCCGAAACCCTTCCCGGCCCGAGGGGTTTAGGGAGATCAGAGCTAAAGTAGAAGGGGGCACCTCACCTTCTAATTCTGCATTTCTCTTTCTGACTTTTTCTTGTGACTAAAGAGGAGGTAGCACAGCTTTTGCCCAGGACAAGGACCTTCACGGTCACTTTCAAGCTTGCCAGCAGGGGGCCACAAAGGGGGTGTTTCTGGCTGACTGGGGCTAGACGTCTGCCCCTTTCCTTGTCCTACCCAGGGACAGAGAAAGAGGCATAAGGAAACTGCGCCCTTGACTAGGGTCATATCCACCTTCCCGGGAAGGACGTATTCTCTCAGTACCAGGTGTTTCCGGAGTGGCATCCCAGCCCTGGGCACCGCGGGCGCGTTGCCAGTGCTGGAAGTACTGGTTCCCGCCAGGAATCTGGAGCAAAGAGGGCTGGACCCTCAGGACCCTGACCCGGCTCATAGACCTCCGGCTGTCCTTCCTGTCAAAAAAAAAAAAAAAGAAGCAGAGTTGGAAGAGGAGGGGGTTGTGATCTGCTTGCCACTTGCTTCGGACCAACTATTCATTACTCTCTTCTGCCTACTGTGGTCACACCCTTTCCAGAAATTCTTGGTGGTAACCGCGAGAGGAGGGTGCAAGAGAGCCCGGAGAACTGGAGAAAACTGCTCTGATCTGACTTGACTTCAAGCAGGAGCTGACACCGCAGAGTCATAACCAGCATTTACTAAGCTCTCACAGGTACTTGCCCATCCGAGCCATAATTTTGCGCTCTGTGGTGTCGTATTAGACCATTGGCAGCTCTTTGAAAACGAGGCTTACGGAGCTCCTGCCATGTGTTCTAGGGGGGTTGTGAGCTTTGGATTCTAACTCAGCACTGCTGGGGTCTCCCTGTTGGCCTTCTTCTCAAGGTGAGCTTCCAGCTGAGTCGCCAGAGACCCTCGGAGGATGGGTACAGTGTCCAGAGTGAGGGTGTCTAGCACGGTCCTGATACCCTTCTCTGCTTGAAGTTTCCCTCTCCCCGTTTCCATGGAAGTCCCTGGTCTAGGTTCTTCAAAGACTAGGTGTGTTCCAGAGCCTCAGAAAGTCTATCAGGATTAATCCATCCAAACCTTCTTTTTTCTTTTTTCTTTTTTTTTTGGTTTTTCGAGACAGGGTTTCTCTGTGTAGCTTTGCTCCTTTCCTGGAACTCGCTTTGGAGACCAGGCTGGCCTCGAACTCACAGAGTGCTTGGGATTAAAGGCGTGTGCCACCACCGCCCAGCTCACCAATCCCTTATAGATGTCCCTCGTTGCTAGGAAGGGATTGAGGCCTGGGAAATTGCAAGTCTGAGTGAGACTCACCATTTTTGAGATCCTCCCCTCACAGCACCCCTCCTCAGATGGATTCCTCTCTCCTGGTCTCATCTTGTTTGTTTGAGACAAGGTCTCATAGTGTAGCCCAGACAGGCCTCAAACTGAGATCCTCCTGCCTCAGCCTCCTGAGTGTTGAGATGACAGACACGTGCTGCCAATCTCAATCTCACCTTTTGGGCCTTTCCCCACCTGATGAGTGTCCCCAGACGGGTTTTCCACTCTGTAGTTAATGCTAATATTCATGCTCAGTGATACTCAGATTTGTACTGTGCTTTTAAACCTTGGCCTCATTGACCTTTATAACCTCTCAAAATAAGGTAGCTTTAACTATCCTTGCTTTCAAGGTGAGGGTTTGGGGTGATAGGTTTGCCCTGGGGTTGCATACCCATCCAGTGACTGAAGTATGGTAACCTTCTCATACAGCAGCCTCCCAGGAACATTGGGCGTTGACTCCAGGCCTACTCGCCATCAGCTGCTGACTACGTTTACAGACAAGGGTATTTCTGTCTAGTGGTGATGAGCGGGTCAAGGTTCTCTCCCCCGAGTGTCTTCATTCTCCATAGCATACTGACCCAGAAGATTTTGAAAACCCAGCCCATCACTTGCGTACCTTAAAACTGCCCCTGGCCTTTTACTGTCAGGAAGCGTCCCGGGTCGTCCCTGGAGGCTCTCACCAACGTTTCCTTACTTCCTAATTGGCAAGGGAAGGCACAGACTCTCACTCTCTGCCCAGGCCTGCCTGCTTCTCCTTTGGGTTCCTCCTGCTTGGGGGGAGGAGTCGGAGTGAGTCACCCCAGAGATGCCCTCACCTGTGTGGCCCTTGTCTTCTGTCTCACGCTACAGGTTCCGAGATGACTTGGCTGAGATTCCCACACACCTGAGTCTGCTGCTGGAGCAGTGGCCTCATGACCAGGTTGATAGACAGTACTGCTTGTGTCTATGACACAGAACTCGGGCTGCCCACACTAAAGCACGATGCTTCGGCAGGTAAAGCTGATGTAACCAAGCACCAGAGACACTGTCCTATTTGCCTGTCTAAATGAAGACTGCAGTTCTCCTAGCTGGAAGGACAGGAAAGACCCCTTCCTTCTTCAGATAGTCTTTCCAGTGCTCTTCGGATACCTAACTTGAATGTCTTCCCTTTTTGTGGTTTTGTGGCTTGAAGTGGATAAGTTGAGCTAGATAAAGGAGTCTAGGTCTCTTTGATGACCTTAAATGGAGTATATCCTGACAGAAGTCCTTCCTGGGCTGTTTTATTGAATCACAGTGGAAGTTTGGGGCTTCCAAGAATGTTCACTGAAGCTGAGCCTTTAAGAATAATAAAGAATTAGCCAAGTAAGCCGGGCATGGTGGCACACGCCTTTAGTCCTAGCACTTGGGAGACAGAGGCTCGCAAATCTCGATGAGGTCACGGCCAGCCTGGTCTACATATTGAATTCTAGGACAGCATAAGCAGTCCAGACAAAAGATGTCTGCCTGTGAAAAATGCAGGAGAAAGTAGCTTATGGGGGAGTCCAGCATTCTGCCTCTGAAAAGGCTAGTACCCCTGGCCTGCAAGGTGGGACCACCTTTCACCAAGGAGCTCCACCTCATACACCTGGTAGCATCCTTCATAAGTAGCTGAGATCCCTTGGCACAATGGTACATATTTGCTGGAATTTGATTTTCCTAAATTTGTCCCATACTAAGGGCTCAGGGAGGTTGTGCTCTGGTGAGTTCTAGCAGGATAACCAAGGTGGGACTTAGCAGACTCAAGAAAGCCATGGCAGGTGCCGCTGGACTATCCTGCTGTTTTATAGGAAATGAACTTTCAAGCTACAAAAAAGCAGCCAGGACAATTGTCTGCTCTGAGGTTTTTCTTCCTTCCTTCCTTTCTTTTCCTTATTCCAAAAGCAATGATTTTTACCACAGCCATACTTGTGACTGCCCTGTGCCCAGCCCTTGTTCTGTAGTAGGCACTACATTTGAGTATTTTGTTTCATCTTCATATTGCAGTGAAAAAAAATGTAGTAGTATATGTACTATACAGTGCTATTATGTTCCCGTTCTGGAGATAAGACCCAGATGAATTAGATGGCTGACTCAAGGTCACGTTCATTATCAGGAATTTGGAAAAATAAAGGCAATCAAAAAGGACATTAAAGTTATCTAGTCATACTATCCTAACACAATATTTTAAAGAATGTTTAGAATTTTTTGCCCTAATTTTTTCGAGACAGGGTTTCTCTGTGTAGCCCTGGCTGTCCTGGAACTCGCTCTCTAGACCAGGCTGGCCTCAAACTCGGAGATATACTTCCTGAGTCCTGGGATTAAAGGCATGCACCATCACACCCCAGTTCTTGTTTTGTTTTTTTGAGATCTTTCTGAGTAGCCCAGGCTAGGCTTGAACTCATGGCAGTCCCCTACTTCTCCTGAATGCTGGGATTACAGGTGTGTACCACCATACCCAGCAATAACTCCTTGAGTACCTAAGAGGTAGGCACAGTCACCATTCCCATTTTAGTGTTAATGAAAACTGAGATAAAAAGAGATAAAAGAACTTTAATAAATCCAGGCAGTAGTGACGCACGCCTTTAATCCCATCACTTGGGAGCCAGAGGCAGGTGAGTTCAAGGCCAGCCTGGTCTGCACATCGAATTTCAGGACAGCCAGGACTGTTAGACGGAGAAACCCTAAAGAGAAAGAAACTCAACTAGGATTGTAGAGGAATAAGTGGTGCTGTCGGGAGTCAAACCTGGGTGACCCAGACCCCGTTCCCGTTCTGTCCATCTGCAGCACCGGGGTTGACCTGGGGCCTCACTCGGGCGAGGCAGGCGCCCACCAGACTCTATCTCCTCTGTTTTTGCTTTTTATTTTGAGACCAGAGACTTAAATTGCTGGGACTGGCCCTGCACTTAACCGTCCTCCTGCCTGAGGAAACAGTCCCACCACCAGGCTCAGCAGTCTAGCTTCCTTTGTTGTTGTTTTGTTTGCTTTTGAAGACAGGATTTCTCCATGTAGCCCTAGCTGTCCTGGAACTTACTATGTAAACCAGGCTG